GGATCTACTTCGAGTAGACAGTGCACACCTTTCATTCCAGATGCACAAACTTTGTTCACAGTAGTGCAAATCACTGAATTGGGTATTCCTGCACTCAATGCTGCCTGTCTAGCTGGAGCCTGTCCCAAGTTTGCACTGAGGACGTTTCCAAAGAAAACTTCTTCTACAAGTGATGGGTCAACATTTGCTCTCTGCAGAGCGCCTATAGTTGTGTTAAAAAGAGAGATCAATATAATTTCAGAAACATTCTACCCGCAATTTGACAATAATTCTCTACAATGAAAGAATTACATCAAATTATTTAAGATTCCTACCAGCGATGGCAATTGATCCAAGTTTAGTTGCTGATAGTGATGAAAGAGAGCCAAGGAAGCCCCCCATTGGAGTACGGGCAACACCAACAACACAAACATCTGTTCAACATAAAGCACAAAGAATAGGCAATAATGAGAAACTAGAATTTAAGGAACCTTGTGCTCCTGAAATTGAAAGTAACATGCAAAATAAGCCTGCGTTACAGCAACTTCTGGTGTCAATTTTATCCAAAAAAAGGAACAATAATAAGCAAATGGTAAGAGGCATGACGCTTAATGAAAAAGAAACTGTTTCTTGGTATCGGAACACAAGTAGAAATGTCAAAGTTGCAGTAAAAAAATATTTACTTGCCAATTTTCGGAATCTTTAATTAAGATAACAAAAGTCAAAAGAACACCTCCACTCTGACGGCCCCAACTAGGAATGCATAGTTGAAATATACATTTGAAAATTTCGCATTTATGGTACAAAAGTACAACAAAGATTTAACAATATTTTTGAAACGGAAGTTCAAATATAAGTGCAAAAACTGAATTTATTTATATCTAACAATCGCCTTAAAGTTTGGACACAAAAACTGAACGAAATACTCCCCTTTTTACATTTGCCTTGCTCCGCAGGACCAAAGTGGAGACTTATTTCTTATCATGCAAGCTTTTAATAAAACGGTAACCAAAAGCAACTACAGAAACATAGTGATCATGGTGCTGGCTCATATTGAAGTTACAACAATGCTACATCTGTTATGACATGAGATTAAGAAATAACCTATACGTTTTCTAAGCAATGTGCAGAAAAAACAAATCTGTTACCTCTAGGCTTTATTGATTCTGCAGTTGCTGGAGCCATCGTGAGTGATATATGTCAATGGTAGTCTGTTTCACTCCAAAACAAATCAGGATTTCTCTTTATCAACAAAATAATGCACAGCCACAAGTATGCATCTAACACATGACCTAAAATTACTACTTCTAATTATTATCGAATCAAAGGATAAGCATGAGTTATCTTCAACAAACGGGAATAACTACTTGATGTAAAATCCAACAGGATTTAAGAACAAAACAAAACAATGAAAGGCATAGGGGAAGTTAAAGGGACAGAATTAGTATTCAAAATTCAAAATAATTTAGCTAAATAAGGCGATATTTTATAACCGAGAAATCCCTGAGGGCCAATGGCTCTCGGTTCTGTGGATAATGTGTCCCCCTCTACCCTTCTTCACTTAAATACCAGGTTTTTGTCGGCAGTAGGGAATAAGGCGATTCTTCTTACAACTATTAAATTCCAACACTTATCTAACCTCAATTACCACATATCTGCCTCTATATTTGTCATTTATAGTAAAGGACTAAGGATGATACTTAGGTTCTTTTTTTCTCGTTTAAAAATTTAAATCATTTCTTGATTTGGGCATATCATCCATGCAGAGAGGCCAACCTGATCTTCTCTATATTGTTCCAATTTTATTGCATGTCCCAGAGAGACATGACGACACTATAGTTAGCATGAGCTAAAACTAGCTGGGGAAGGAAAAAAACAACGGACCCTGAAAATTGTCTATTAATTTCCTCGATTCCTTCAAAGCAATGATGATGGTAAATGTCACAGAACATACATTCATAAGAATTCAAAAGAGACGAGATATTAGATCCAAACATGCTCAAATGATCCACCGAAAAATTGTTGATTTAAAGATGCCTTATACTCGATTTGCTAGCAGATCTAATCAACAAATAACCAATCGAAAAATTCAACAAGTATTAAGAGAAATGATAATATGAAGTTGCATGGAACAGACAGAAATTCAGTCCGTAAAAGTACCTGTGTGATTAAAGCTGGGTAGGTGGAGCAGAGCACAGAGAAAGAGAGAGAGAGAGTAAAGAGCATGATATGAAAATCCAATAGAAGCGGGAGAGCATTTATATGGAAAGGACCTTTGTTGGGGTACGTGGGTTGGGGGAAGAGAAGTGGGTATACTTTTTTATTTTTATCTATATTATATATTAAAATAACGAAGGTCATTAGCGAAATGTCGTTTGACTTTTTTACCCTTTAAAACATAAAGTTTTCGTAGGACAATATAGTAATTTAAGCATTTCATAAATATTTAAAAAAATTCACTTAATTAATTTAGTTTTTCGTTTTTTTTTGGTAAATTTTTCTTCAATTACTTGTTATTAAACTTTGTCTTAATTAAGTGGTTAAATTTTCTCACATTTCTTACCCAAGGAAACTTAATAAAAAAAATTCCTAAACTTTCACTCTCATTAAATAACATATTCCCTTTACTTTATGGAGTATTAAATGAGTTATTATGTTGCCTTAATTATTTGGTAATAAAATTTTTCTACTGTTGCACAAGGAAAGTTTATTAAAGAATTTGACTAGGAGGTATTATGATATTAATGGGACCATATAATATGTTAGTTTTTGGTTGGATTTATTCGTATTATTGAACCAAAAAGCATATGTAATTGACTTACAGAAAATTACATACCGGGTATTCAATTACAACCAGAAAAGTTCCATACCGTGTAAAATGGAACCATCATTATTGTGGTTCCGTTGCGCAAGGAAGTGTTTTAAAGAATTTGACTTGCTGGACGACACAAGGAAATATTTTGGTAGAAGTTTTTATTATTTGATTAATTTTTCTTGTCTCTTTGACCTACACACAAATTTACTTTATATAATTCCTTTCACGTGTCAAATTGTGTACCATAATACTTCTATAAAAGAAGCTACAATATCACAATTTAATCGTTAAAGTTCGCCATATTCCAACATCACGATTCCAGGTGTTGTTTCTTTTACTAATATATCAACATCTTTTGCTACTTCGTATTTTACAAGCACGTTTGCATGCACCGTTTTTAGTGTTGCATCAATAATTTATTTTTATTGTTGCACCAACAATTTTTTATTATATAGTTTTGTTTCATATTTTTGACTTGGCTAATTTCACATCTCACATAATTTACAAATTTATTACAGGTTATTGAAGAATTGCAATTCATCACAGAAAATCGGTTAGACATTTGATCTAAGTTTTATCACTTAAATATTAGTATTATTTTTTCCTTTGTTGTATAATTAATAATACTTATAATTGCTATGCCAGTTCAAGTTGCTTGTTTTAAAAAGAATTAAAAATTAGACTATTTGATTTAATTCTATGTTATATTAATACTACATGATTTGCATTATTGCAATTGTCATGCTTGAATCACTCAGATTTCAACAATTACATCCGTTCAGGTAAACAATCTTTCTTACATCATAAAAATAATCAATTATTGAATTAGCCACTTTGATAACTTATAAAACCCTTATGCATGCTTTATTTTAGGTACACTTGCAATGGCCAGTGAAAAAGAATTGTTAGGCCAATGTGTCCCAATTAATAGTCTAAGAGTATCTGAATCATGTTGGATAATACGAGTGTTAGTGTTTGGGAGTGGAATAGTAGAAAAGTTCAGCAATAAAATAAATCAAGGCACCCGAAAATTTGTGACCTTAGTTGACGAAGAGGTAATTGTTATTTTATATCAATATTTTATTTCATGCATGTCTTTTCATATTATAATTTTAACCATCAGATTAACTTATAGTGAAACTTTTACGGGGAACAAAATTTACGCTACACTTTTCAATGGTTATATTGAGTTGTGAAAAAATTATTTACAACAAAATAAGATCTGTTCATAAACGGACGCATCAATAATGCTAATCCTAATTTTCAATCAGCGCACAAGGAGCTTGAGATTGGATTTAAGGAAAATACTTTAGTTGAAGAAAGCAATAGTCACTTTTCGACCATTGGTTTTTCAAATAATTTTATTTCATTTGATGAGGCATCAAAGTGCACGGAACAATTTTTGATAAGTTGTTTAGATTTCATCCTGTAATCTTTCACTAAATATATAAACAATATTTTACTTCTATTCTCCTTATTAATTTTTGGGTAATATACATATAATTGTTTTGATATTTTTTCTAGATATAGTTGGAATTTTAGTGGATGTTAAACCCTTCATGGGAGAAGGCTAGATGTTTCTATATAGTTACTATTAAAAGTAAGAGATTTTGTACCTAAT